GTTTCCAGGATAGGAAAATTTGAGCTCACTCGAGACTTTTGAGCTGTTGAGAGACAGATAATGCACACTCGGCGTTGGTAGAAGTCTTCTCAAACTTAGAAGAGAGCTCAAAAGTATGGAACCTGAGCTGCTCGAGAAGAAAAGTGTGGAACTCGGTTAAACCCTGTGAAGTAACTGTTTCTTGTTTGTTGCCCAGAATTGAATAAAAAAACTGAATGCTAATAAAATAATGTACAACTTGAGTAAACTGGTCAGTGTCAAGTGGTGTGATACTCACAAGGACTGGTATATAAAGGCCTGATTATCCCAATGGGAACTAATACAAAGCAACTTAATTAAACACCTAAAATAAATACATGTCTATGGTGACGGTTGAGAGAAGATGAGTCTTGATCAAGGCTGGGAGATGAAGGTGTATGGTGATAACTGATAGATGACGGAATAAGAACGAGACTGGCAGCAGATGAAGGCACATGACTAGGGTTGGAACATGGCATATGATTAGGGCTGGCAGGAGGTTAAGGTGTACAATGAGGACTGGCAGGTGATAATGCATTATTAGAGTTGGCAGGATCAAATGGTGTATGACGTGGGTAGACAGGACTTGATGGTGTATGACCAGCAGAGTTGGCAGGTGATGTTTTATGACTGGGGTTTGCAGGAAGCTTCCATCTTCGATGAAAATTGAAATTGGATGATGATGAGTTAAGAAGGTTGGTCGGAGGTGGCTGTTTCTGTTGGGGGTTGTTATTAGGTGATGGTGGAAAACTTAGCTTTGTAGGAGGTGGGGGTCTCTGCCAGGTACAGTCGAGTTAGTTAGTTGTGATGATCCAGGGGCCGAAGTGCCACAACTTTTTCTGGGTTTGCTAGCTATGTGCAGATTCTTCATGTTTGTTGTGAGTAAAACCCTCATCTACACTGAGAGGGAGATACTCATCATCACTATCAGGTGGTTCCTCATGAGCCGATGACTGATGTTAACCAGCCCTCCTATGCTGTTTTTGAAGAGCCAGCAGTTGCTCTTTCCACTGCTGTTCCTTTGCCTCTCTCTTCTTTTCTTCTTAGTCTTATCTTGGTCTGTGCTTTCCTTTTCACTTGCCTGCTTCTTCTGGTTCGTCTTTTTTGCTTTCTTTGGTTTCTTTTTGCCTTGACCATGACAGTCTTGATTGGCTTGCCTTTTCTCTTCTGATTCTAAAAATCTAAAAAATGATGTAAAACTGAATTTAGCCTGCATATCACAATCACTATACATGCATGCAAGCAATCAGTTTCTAAAATAAGAGATAGTTAACATTACACACAAGGAAAGGTTTGCTATGCATCTGCATGTTGTCCTGAAGGCTAAATCTTCACACACGAGCTTAACTTACAAAATCTTCACACACAAGCTTAACTTAAGAAGACATGGAAGTTATAAAATTCGGCAAGTAAGCCTTTGTTATTTATAAATGAGGGTGGCTAGTTTCGTTGTTTTCATCAGAGCAATGATCAAAAATCCAGGGAAAGTATCAATTCCTACACTAAAATTGCATTGTTTACATTCAGATCGCAGAGATCGACGAGACAATGCCAACAATGTAGACCAAGATTGCATCTACATGTACATCTGCAGCTACAGATCTCTACAGTTATTGCTCCTCTGATTGATCTGGAAAATTCCATTTCATTTGTTGAAAGTTAATTCTCAACTAAAAAGCAGAGGGGCATTCTGTCTGTGCATGCACCAAATCATTTGGAATGAAAGAATCATAACTCCATTTTGATTTCTCAAGCATGCTTGAGGCTACAATGCCTCCTTAGTGGCCATATCTGTGACTTTCAAAGAGGCAAATACTTGCATTCCTGAAGCATAACACCATCGTCTTGTCTGGGGGCACAATCAGGACTGCAGCAAATGTTTGATGCTGGCAATGGTAGCTTGTAAGATAAGATTCAAGGTCTTCGACAGTGAAAAAGCCCAAGTCAGCAATTAGTTCAATTTTCTGAAATTCTTCTTTGTTGTACTGAGGGACCTCCTTGACTTCCAGGTTTGGTT